TGGCTGTGTTCTGATTGGTTGGGGGGTTGGCCATGTTCTGATTGGCTGGAGGTGTGTTCTGTTCAGGTGGGGGCTTGGTTGTGCTCAGGTTGGTCTTAGTTACTGGGGGATTTGAGCTGGTGAGCTGTGATCTTGCTGTTTGGCTTCGAGTTCGTGGTCGTGCTGCATCTTCATGGTGGGGGTCAGTTTGCTTCATGTATGGCTCAGAGGGGTTTGAAGTGGGTAGTGATGCAGCTGCAGTGCGGCTTCTGGTCTGTGGTCGTGTCTCATCTTCTGTGTGGGTGTGAGTCTGCTTTTTACATGGAAGTGTGGTGGTGGCATCTTGTGTGGCCCTCGTGGATGTGGGTCTGGTGTCATTCATCATGCTAGGCACTCGTCTGTTCATGAGGGCGAGTTTCCAAATGGCTGGTAAGCGGGAGGTGTCATCTCTTTTATTCATGCTGTGTGGGCGTTTTTTCTATCTCTATGGCTTCTCTGATTATTCTGTTGTTGAAGTGTTCGGTTTTGGCGATAGTTCTGGTATTTTTAAAGTCAATCTCATGTCCTGTGGCTTTGAGGTGTTGGACCAGGGAAGAGGTCGGTTCTTCTTTTTTGATTGAGTTCTTATGTTCTTCAACGCGTGCACAGAGTTTTTCTTTCCCGTGTGGCCAGATTATGAAGGTGTCATCTACGTATCTGAGCCAGAGTTTGGGTTTGTGTTCATATTTTTCTAGAGCTTGTGTTTCAAAGTGTTCCATGTAGAGGTTTGCGATGACAGGTGAGAGGGGTGATCCCATGGGTGCTCCTTCTATTTGTTTGTATTTTTGTCTGTTGTAGGTGAAGTATGTATTGGATAGACAGTGGTTGGTCAGATCTAGGATGTGCTGGATGTGAGTTAGAAAGCCAAGGAGTATACGAAATCCCACCACATACATTGGACAAACTAACAGAAGAATAAGTGCACGCATTGAAGAACATAAGAACTCAATCAAAAAAGAAGAACCGATCTCTTCCCTGGTCCAACACCTCAAAGCCACAGGACATGAGATTGACTTTAAAAATACCAGAACTATCGCCAAAACTGAACACTTCAACAACAGAATAATCAGAGAAGCCATAGAGATAGAAAAACGCCCACACAGCATGAATAAAAGAGATGACACCTCCCACTTACCAGCCATTTGGAAACCCGCCCTCATGAACAGACGAGTACCTAACATGATGAATGACACCAGATCCACACCCACGAGGGCCACACGAGATGCCACCACCACACTTCCACATAAAAAGCAGACTCACACCCACACAGAAGATGAGACACGACCACAGACCAGAAGCCGCACTGCAGCTGCATCACTACCCACTTCAAACCCCTCTGAGCCATACATGAAGCAAACTGACCCCCACCATGAAGATGCAGCACGACCACGAACTCGAAGCCAAACAGCAAGATCACAGCTCACCAGCTCAAATCCCCCAGTAACTAAGACCAACCTGAGCACAACCAAGCCCCCACCTGAACAGAACACACCTCCAGCCAATCAGAACATGGCCAACCCCCCAACCAATCAGAACACAGCCAAACCCCCAACCAATGAGAACACACCCCCACCCAATCAGAACACAGCCAAGCCCCCACCCAATCAAGTCACACCCCCACTAGCAGTTAAAAGGAAGAAGCAGCTGCAAGCTCACATCACTCTGAGAAGCACAGAGCTGAAGACAGAAGCCTGAAGATGATGAATGAGACTTCATCGAAACGTTGCCTAGATACTTCCAATCTTACGCGGGAGAAAACCCGAATAACCAAAGATCCACATACAAATACCCGCGAGAACCTCAGAAAACAAATATATATATACACACACACATACACATACACATACACATACACATACACACATACATACATACATACATACATACATACATACATACATACATATACATACATACATATATACATACATACATACATACATACACACACATACATACATACATACATACATACATACATACATACATTACCTTGAATCGAGGTAGGGAAATGGTTTATAGGACTCACTAAATAGCAAAATCTATTATTACAGAGCTCATTACAGGGAACTTCAAGCTTAAGTCAACAGTTTCCTTTTAATAATATATATTCTTGGGGATATTATTACATTTAATGTGAATTGCAAAAACACCAATATATGACATGTGAATGTACAACCTCCAGTCATTAGGACATGCTCCAGAAGAATATGCCACTGCTGCAGAGCTATGAATTTTGGCTCGGAGGCTGCTGACATGATCAGTAACATTATGCAGCAGATAGAATCAAATCAAGAATCACTCACCCTATCCAGGGCTAAGTGAGAAATGGATGGAGTAGAAAAAGAAAAAAGATTTTAAAACAATATTGCAAAGAAAAATTGATTCACAGTTGCTATTAGAAAAGAAATCTGCTCTGAAGAGATAAAAGTGAAGATGCATCTATCAAAGCAAGATTGCTGAGGCAAGAACTGTAGTAATTCAAGAAACAATTAGCTGTCACCCCTAAGGGGAAGCAGACTGTGAAAAGTAGTTAGCCAATGATATCATCTTTATATTATGAGTGGCTTCAGAGGAAAATTCTCACTTCCAGGGACGAAAAATGATACTGAAACCTGGAGAAGTTGTCTTATCACTGGCTATTCACAGTTGTCAGAATCAACTTGTTTTAATTTTAAATCCTGTCTGTTTCATTCAATCTGCCATAATCAATGGCTGGGTTCACTTATTATATTAAGGTATTAGAATATAAGAACAGCCCTGCTGGATCAGCAAAAGTCTATCCCAGTTTGGTTTTTTGGTTGTATAGTAACCATGTAGATGCCTCTCGGGTGCTTGTGTAGCAGGAAACAGAGACATATTTCTCACAAAGTTATTTCCCTGCAATTATCTGGAGACATACCACCCCCCGCCCAGAGACAACAATCTAGCAGCCCATAATAGACTTGTCCAGCATGAATTTATCCAATTCTTCTTTAAAGTCATACAAGGTGGTGTCCAGCACCACATTTTGGACAGGTTAATTATGTGCTATGTGAACAAGAGCTTGCTTCTGTCTGCACTAAATCTTCTTTCAATCAGTTTGACTGGATGACTGCTAGTCTTAATGTTTGAGAAGGGAACTTCTTCCTATCTATCTTCTCCATGTTTTGTGAATGATTTCATCCGCCTCATTCATGTCTTTTCTCACACAACTTTTTTTTCAAGTTAAAAAACAATTTAACTAATTGTTAAATAATTGTAGCTAATTTCTTCCCAGGAAAATTGTCAAACTCCCCTAATAATGTTAGTTTTCCTCAGCAGCACTTTTTCCATCTATCTTTTTTTCCTTTTTCAAGCATAGTGACCTGAAATATAGACAGTTCTTCAGTTACAGACATACTGTATTGAAGACTTGTTTAAGGATATTACAGTGGTAGCATTTTCCATCCCTCTTAACTGAGATCTTTTGAATCAATCACAATGATCTAATTCATATATACTTGAGCCCTGTTTTTCAATGTTGTATAGGTCAGGGTCTCTTTATTTCAATTCACCAAAATGAAGCAAAACACATTACGAATTTAGTAAATCTAGCTGTTGCACTATTAAACATCCTTAAAAACCATAGTGGTTGTGTTTAGATGTAATACTATGTAGGAACATCCCAGAGGAAGCTTTATGACACATTCTGTGCTACCATTTATCCAGACTGAGAATTCTTTTTGGTATTAATTATCACTTAATTAATCTCAGGATTATACATTTTTATTGTAATGGTTTCTCTGTTAATATTAATACAACATTCTTGGCTTGAATGAAAAACTCTTGGACAGCAAGATGGGTGGCATATGAATTTAGCAAATAATAAATAGTTATTAATTGAAACATTTTTTTATTTTCTAGAAAAAATAGTAAATTTTTAATAAATTAAAAAAAAGAAAATGGTAGAATCTAAAGTTCATGCAAATAAAACTAAACAATTGCCCACATTTTGAGATAAATAAGCTGTATTTTAAAATATTGGTTTGATTTATATTCTGAAAATTAACATGTTCAAGGTTAGCAAACAATAAGCATGATATTAGAATATTGGCATCAGTTTATGAATCAATTATTTTGATGAATGAGACAAATTGTCATCTTATTCATCCATCTATTTCAAGGAAGGAAATGAATTCATTGGGTGTTTGTTATCTATTTTGGTTTTGTTTTTTTGTTATTGTTCACTTGTTGTTTTATTTATAGAACACTCAAAGTCTCTAAACTGAGCAATGTTCAAGGTCTCTAATTTGGCCTAGTAGATTTGCAGGGAGACCAAACTCAAAACAAGCAACCGATATTCCTTTTAACAAATAAATATAAGCAGCTGGCACAAAGCCAATCAGATTTTTAACTTTTAGTTCTGCATGCTGCTGTTGATTTTTTTTTTTAATTGTAGATCCTGATTACCTCTTGTACATCCTTCAGATGATACGTATATTCCAACTTGTCTGTTTGCAGTTTCTGCTTCTAAGCCATCATAGCATAACCCTAACCCTAACCTTAAAAGTATTTAAAACAATACCCTGTGAATTTTGCTTGCTAATTACTGTATGCATTTTATACAAAATATTTTCTTTTGCTTATGTTTTTTGTAAAGGACTATCATAACATTGCTATATTATTAACTTGCAAAGTATTTCATTTTTATTATGGTTTATTATTTTTATCCCGCCCATTCTCTCATCTTCATGGTTGAGCAGCGTCTTTTAGTCATGTCTTTTCATTTCTTCTGAACTCTGCATTCTGACAGCTACATCGCACTGGAGCCATGGTCTACTAGCTATATCTCAATAACTTAGTATGTTTTGGCAAGTTATCCTAGTTGCTTTTTAGTCAAAAGGTGAATCAAAATTAAATATTATGCAGTACTTAATAAAATATGCATCTTCTTGTGCTTTTGGGATATTTTTATTATGCAGTACTTAATAAATAAAATATGCATCTTCTTATGCTTTCAGGATATTTTTTCTCACTAAAATAAGAATCATCCCCAAAGGAGCTTTCTCAGGATTTGAAGAAGTGGAAAAAATGTATGTATTTTCAAATATTCTCACTATGTCTAGTTTATATATCTTCATACCTTGGTCCCTTGGATGCCTTCTCTTCCCTGACCCACAATGTTTTAATTGAACCAGCCTAGAGCAACTTCATTCCTTCTAGATATGTTCAACATCAGTTCCTATTATTACCAGCCAATATATGGAGCAGACACTTATAAGAGTGACAATCCAATTATAAGAGCCATCTAATTGGTACAGATTGAATTAAACTGGAATACTCAGGTGGATTTAGTGAATGATCTGCAGAGAGCAAAACAGAAGTAGCCTTCCAAAGCATATAGCAACTTGATAGAGATAGAGATGGAAAAGAGAGATTTACATGCCCACACATATGGGGTTATATTATAACTCAGTTGAGCACCAAAACCAATGACATAATAGACATTTGCAATGTTAGTTCAAGACTAAGGAGCAGCATCCATCAGGAGTCAGGATCCTATATAAGGCTTGGGCGTACAGTAGTACCACAACATTGTGCCTGCCATGTGGCAGATTTGGACAGCCCCATCTATACACCCTTGCTCTTACTTTTTTGTTCAGAAAGGGCTTCTGAATTGATCTCTGAATCTCTGCCCCAAAATCCTGTCTTGATATCACCAAGAACAATAGCAACTGTTACTGAGGACAATCAACTGCCCTGCCCTTTATAAAATATGAGTCATCAGTAGAGGACCCAAAGGTGCTTTTTCAAAAGGCAACTGGAGTTTCTTGTTTTTCTTTGAAGATGTTTCGCTTCTCATCCAAGAAGCTTCTTTAGCTCTGACTGGATGGTAAGCCACTTGAACAGCCCTCTCTCAACAGAGGGGAAGGGATACAACATCATCTACTTCCAGTCTACAATGCGGTCTTTTCAGGAGTTCCAAGAAGCCCATTTCACTACTCAGGTGACCTTGAGGACAGATAAACCTCCAAGTGGCCTCAAAGAATTTTATAAAAGAATGCAAATGACCAGCTGTCTGCAAAGAATATAAATCTTTCCATTTCCCACCATCCAGTCAGAGCTGAAGAAGCTTCTTTTTTAAAAAAAATAAAAAAAAAACAATTTTATTTCAGTTTTCACAAAACACGCAAAAAAAACAAAACATCTTTTTTTAGTGAACAGCTTGGTTCCAGGTTTTCAAATCTCCATACAGATATAATTTCAGTTACATATTCATCTTTCATCTTCAATTTCATATCTTATCCCAAATTTAAATGTTCTTTATTAATTTTTCCCCTCAAATACTTCCCTCGGGCTTATTTTATAACTCTCTCATTCATTTCTGAATCTATTACATATTCTTTTCAAGATTTTCATATTTTCAAAATAATTATACATACTTTTATCAGTCCTGTGTACAATTTCAATCTATATCCACATTTAAAACATTACAAAAAAGGTTTCCCTTATAATTGCTAATTAAAGTGTGTCACCTTCATATCTTATAGTTGATTCCCTTTCACATCCCATTAAATATTCTACTTCTAAATTATCCCATTAAACAATTGTAATTTCCATCACCTAATAGTTATATTATAACATAAATCCTATTTTTAGTCAGATTCCACATGGTACTTCCCCTTTAAATGACTTCTAAATAATTTTAAGTTTAAAAGAATTTTTTTAAAAAATGGAAGAAAATAATTAATTAATTAAAATTCATCCTAAAGAAAAAAACTGGTATTAATTCCCTTACAAGCCTTCTCATAATTCATTTCAATCACATTTTATAAATACTTAATATGCATTAATATAATTCAATTGTATTTTACATATGTTTGTTTTTTATTTGATCTAGATGTTATCATACATTCCATTAAGTAACAATCTCCATTTCATCTTCCATTTTAATTATATGTATTTTCCTGTTTTCTACATAATTTCTTACTTCTAAAATATTTATACCATGCAGAATTTAAACCATGCATCACCATGCAGAATCCTCTATTTTAATTGTAATTTCAACCATTACCTCTGTGTCTATCAATCAAATTATACCCTTTAATTCTTGTTCGTTTCCCATATTTCTTTATTTCCTGATTCTGTTTTTTATAACTTCTTTTCCCCTTTATCTTCCCCCTCTTTTTCTCACTCCAATTTTTGTCCCCCTCCGTCTTTAATGCTTCCTTCTGGAAACCTCCCTTCTGCTCTTTCCTTATATTATGTTTATTTCTCACACTGTTCCTTTTTCTGATTACCTCCTCCAGTTTCCAATTTTTAAGTCCTTTTTTCCAGAGATTGCAGAACACAGCCAAACAATTCTCCTTTCACTTGAAATTGTTCCTTCATATTTTTTAGTACCATTTTCAGTTCCAAATAAAGTTCTGCCATCTTTCAACACTTTCCAGTACTTTTAGACAACCAAATTATATAGGATTGCTTCCCAAAATTAATTTCAATTATATCCACTAGTAATCCAATGTCCAAAGTTTCCAAGATCCTCAAACCATTCCAGAACAGTTTTGTCTTACTTCTTTGTTTGTTGCAAAGTTCCAAGCTCCACTTTCACTTTCCAGGGGCTCTATTTGATTGTAGCAACATTTCATTTACTTTGTTACCCTTTAAAAGTCTTTTAAAAGTTCATATTAATTTCTTTCAGCATCAGTTGGCACTCTTTAGTATATCCAAGTTCCACCACCTTTTTTCAATTTTTTCCCCTCTTCTGTGCCGCACCTTTAAAAATCTTTTCCTAAGAGTTCTTAAGTATTTTAGCTCCAGGGCATCTTGTATTCAGATGTTAATCCTTCTTAGCCTGGTCACCCAAGCTGCCCCCTTTCTTCTCTCTGCTCCTGCATGATCTTGTCCGGTCAGATCTTCCTCTTTGGGATGGCCATTTTGGCCATCGCTGCATCCGCCTTCGGATGCAGGAGCAGAGAGGAGGGGGGAATGTGCCAAGGAGTGGAGAATGTGGCTCCCCTCAACTCAGCTGGCATTCTCCCCTTTCTCTGCCACCTCAGGTAGATCGGGGCTCTCCAGCAGCGAGCACCAACCAAAACCGCGGACAGCTGCAGATTTGGTCTGTCACCGAGAGAGCCTAACCAGAAGTTCTGAAGAAGCTTCTTTGATGAGAAGTGAAATGCCTTCAAAGAAAAACAAGAAAGTCCAGTTGCCTTTTGAAAAAGCAGCTTTGGGACAACCATGACCTGGATGACTGAGAATCTCCATAGACATCAGAATTTTCTCAAGAAAGAAAGTGGAGTGGGCTTAGTTCCTTCACTCAAAATAAAATAATTATACACTTGAAGTTTTTATGTCTGCTTTTTGATTTTACCAATATGCTAAGACAAAGCCAAACAAGGCAAATTACAGACCAGCCAATTTCTATTTATTAATAAATCATAATTAAGCATACATCTCATCACAGCGTAGAAATCCAGCAAAGCATAATAAATATATCATATGGTAACACAAGAAATCTGCAACTAATAATCCCATTTAATGCAAATAGAACTTCTTGCCATTCAAAATATTCCTTTGACCACCAAATGAAAGTTGCTTCTCAGTAGATAACATTAAATCCCAATTCCTGGAATAACAGCACAAATGGCAACTATGTAAATTGCAGTGTAAAGGTCATATCCATCAAGCAATTTGATAAGAGCCAATATTTATTATTTAATTCTGTAGTAGAGAAAGAAATACCTGGACTCTCTTATGATCCCAAGTCAGCAAAGCTCAATCATCCATTTCAGAGAACACACTTTTACAAGCAGTGGTGGGATTCAAATAATATAACAACCAGTTCTCTGCCCTAATGATTTCTTCCAACAACCAGTTCACCAAACTGCTCAGAAAGTTAACAACTGGTTCTCCCAAACTGGTGCGAACTGGCCACCACTGTATACAAGGGCTTAATGCTTCTCCTAAGACACATGTCTTTGCAACATGCAAGTCATCTCCACCAAGTTCTTCATTCCCACATGCACTTTCACTACCAGCAGTCACTTTGGAGGGATTGGCCTGAGTCTAGTGTGAACTCAGTTTTCTTGTGAAAGCTCTTCTTGCTGGCAAAATTTAGTACATTGAAATATTTATACTCATTTTCTACAGATAGGCCCTGAGAGAGAGCCTATTTGAAGGCATCCTTTCCTCTGAAAGGATGGATGAATTTTTAATTCATGAAATCTCTGAGGGAAATATATATTTATTGTGAGATTTATTTATTTATTTAAGCAGATCGGCAGTATGGTAGCATGCCATATGTGTATTGAAGTATCTAATTTGTATACTGCAGACAAAATGAATTTCATTAGATAGAAGCATTACATTATTAATAGTTGTTTCCTTCAAACAACATACTATTCATTTTAATATTGGTGCACATATGTGTGCACATGTACAATCATTGTGTTATAGAGGGTGGGGAAGAAGCTCACACAAGGAGTTTCTTGTTCTATATGCAGATAGATCACTTAATTATATAGTTTGTGTCCAGCAATTATCATGACTTCTGCCAATAAATGTTTTAAGGCTTATATGTTTGATTTGTGAGCTATTTCATATTTCATTGCTACTTCTCAACTGCAGATGCTACTGATGCTGATTGATCTCATTTGCATATTCATTTTCAGAGCAGTTTCCCAACAGAGTTGCCATGGCACATTGGTGTATTTTCAAAAGAAAGTAACTCTTTAGCATTTAGAGTTTTGTCTTTCGATTAACAGTATCTGTCCCTCGTATCACCTCCCCAATCAACATTCTTTCACATATTATACAAGGCGGGCATCTTGTTTCCAGGTAATGGAAGATGATGTAAACATTTTACAGATAGATTCATCAGTTGTCCCTATTCTCTAAGGATTCTTGGTAATTTGCATAAACTGCCCGCTCCAAGTAAGCTCACATAGAATCTGCCTTGTTTTTTGCCTTGGTTCCCCCTCAAGGCTCAGAAGAGACACTAAGTGGAAGAACTGCAATCTCCCAAGAAATCATCATTTAGCCTACTCCAACCCACTCTACACAGAGTTGCCCCTGAAGAGCATTTGGAAAT